ACTTCAACTCCCAGAATTCCTAAGCCAGCATGGGGGAACTATGGCCCCTTCATGACTTACGGACTTCAACTCCCAGAATTCCTAAGCCAGCATGGGAGAACTATGGTCCCTTCATGACTCGTGGACTTCAACTCCCAGAATTCCTGAGCCAGCATGGGGGAACTGTGGCCCCTTCATGACTTGTGGACTTCAACTCCCAGAATTCCTGAGCCAGCATGGAGGAACTATGATCCCTTCATGACTTGTGAACTTCAACTCCCAGAATTCCTCAGCCAGCATGGGGAAAACTTTGACCCCTTCATGACTCGTGGACTTCAACTACCAGAATTCCTGAGCCAATATGGGGAAAACTTTGGCCCCTTCATCACTTGCGAACTTCAACTCCCAGAATTCCTCAGCCAGCATGGGGGAACTATGGCCCCTTCATGACTTGTGGACTTCAACTCCCAGAATTCCTGAGCCAGCCATGCTGAGGGGAAAGGGAGAGGTTTCCAAGCTGAGCCATGCTGGCTGAGGAATTCTGGCAGTTGAAGTCCACGAGCCATAAAAGAGCCAAGGTTGCCCACCCCTGCCCTATATACCATTTCATTTAGCAAAATGTCCGTTGCTAAGTTGTTAAGTCAGTTTTGCCCCATTTTGTGACTTTTCTTCCCACAATACTTAAGTGAATCATTGCAGCTGTTAAGTCAATAACCTGGGAATCTGGCTTCCCCATTGAATTCCCTGGTCAGAAAATCGTAAAAGGGGATCACGTGACTCTCCTGGTCCACGGCAACCATCATAAATATGAACCAGTTGCCAAGCAACCAAATTTTGATCCCGTGCCCATGGGGATGCAGCAACGGCCACGTGAAAAACGGTCCCAAGTCATTTTTTTCAGTGCTGTTGTAACTTTAAACTGTCACTAAACAAAGGGTTGTAAGTCAAGGACTACCTCTACTGTGGTATGGAAAAGCATTTTTTTGTTTTGTTTTATTGCAACAATGGTGAGCTTTCCTAAGCGAGAAGCATCTATAGCTGTGTTTCTCAACCTCTTTAAACTGGGGGGGGGGACTTCAACTCCCAGAATTCCTTAGCCAGCCCATGACTGGCTGAAGAATTCTGGGAATTGAAGTCCATCCAGCTTAAAGTTGCAGAGGTTGAAAAAAACTGATCTATAGTCTGTAGGAGGGGAATCATCTGTTGGGGGGTATGGCCATATCTATCCATGTTGTAGTTGTCACACAGTGTTCCATGACTTTTCCCCAACTGTTTATCCATCAGTACCCAAGAGGATGACAGTATCTTGTGTTTGCATTTTGCAGGTATACCTAAACTGGAAACAGCCTGTATTTCATCAGGTAATTGTTTATTTCTGTTTCAACTTAGAAAATGTTAATTGACTTGTCCATTTTTTAAAATCTCCTAGTCTGGTCAATGTGGATATGTGTCGGGCGTGAAAGACAAAGGTCTACACGTGGTTTATTGCTGATTTGTGGTTTAAAAGCCTATGCAGAAGAACCACCTCAGCTAGCAGTCAGCACCTGCTAACACTTAGATAAGGGTCAACTGAATCCAAAGGACGTTCGATTTAGTTCTCTTGTGACTACGTAGAGCAGTGTTTCTCAACCTTGACAATTTTAAGGCATGTGGACTTCAACTCCCAGAATTCCACAGCCAGCAATGCTGGCTGTGGAATTCTGGGAGTTGAAGTCCACATGCCTTAAAATTGTCAAGGTTGAGAAACACTGTCGTAGAGATTCTAGGCCAGGGCTTTTCAACCTTTTCACCCATCGTGCCACTTTTAGGATATGACAACATCCGAGTACCCCTAGTCGCCTAGCAAGGTGTCAAAAACATGATGACCAAAAAAAAAAAAAAAAAAGGGAAAAAAGTGATAAAGTACAGGTAGTCCTTGACTTACAACAGTTCGCTTAGTGACTGTTCGAAGTTACAATGGCACTGAAAAAAGTGCCCCCCCAAGGCACAGCCGAGCAAGACGCCTGCCCGACCGGCCGCGCTCTTCCTCCTGTCCGAGGTTTCCACTGTTGTGAGCATTTCTGTTGAGGATTGGCAGCGGGGGTGGGGTGGGGGTGTGTTTGGTTTTTATTCCCCGTCTGCTGGGTGGTTGCAGCAGGTTTTGGTCACTTCACATGACCCTGGGACACTGTGACCGTCATAAATATGAATCAGTTGCCAAGCATCTGAATGTAAATCACAAGACCCTGGAGATGCTGCAACACTCCAGCTGATTGGCGCTTCTTCAGGGCTCAGCAGAAGCACCAGGATCAGTGCTGAGCTCCAGCTGATTGGTGCTTCTTCAGGGCTCAGCAGAAGCACCAGGATCAGTGCCGAGCTCCAGCTGGAGCCTGGCGCTGATCCTGGGGCTTCCGCTGAGCCCTGCAGCTCCAGCCGTCTCTCGCTCAGGCTTGTGCGGTGCTGCCACCGGTTCAGCTCATTCCCCTCCCCTTCCTACCACTTTTCTAGGATGGTCGCGTACCACCTGCCAGGTGCCAATGTACCACAGGTGGTACCCTTACCACTGGTTGAAAAGCCCTGTTCTAATCCAACCCCCTGCTCAAGCAGGAGACCCTGTACCATTTCAGACAAATGGCTGTCTAGTCTCTTCTTGAAAGCCTCCAGCGATGATGGGTCACCCACGACTTCCGAAGGAAGCCATTCCACGGGTTAATTCTTGTCACCGATAGGAAATTTCTCCTTCATTCTAGGTTGGTTCTCTCCTTGGTTAGTCTCCATCCGTTGCTTCTTATCCTGGCTTCAGGTGCTTTGGAGAAGAGGTTGACCCCCCCCCCCTTTTCTTTGGGACAGCCCCTCAAATATTGGAAGTCTGCTATCGTGTCACCCCCTAGCCCTTCTTTTCCGTAAACTAGGTATACTCAATTCCGTCAGCCGTTCTTCCTATGTTTTAGCCTCCAATCCCTAAGTCACAGGAGAAAAACAAAAACAATAGGAGAAAAATACATAGCGCCCATTTATTTTTAGGCTTCGAGGTGGGAAAACACGAAACACAAATAGCCGTTGGTTTTCCAGTCGCAGACCTGATGATACCGTTCTCAACATAGTAAACTTTTACGTCGACTTAGTAAATCCTCCCGTTGCATCGAATTTCATTTCCAAGAGGATGTGGATTGTGCCTTAGGGGAAAAAAAAAAAAAGATTTCCATAAACATTTGCTAGTTGAATTTCCAAACACCAAGATAACCCGACTGGCTAGAATTCTCCTTGGCCCCGTTTTCCTTTCCCGCCTGTTTCCCTGCCACTTAACCAACTTAACTTTTATTTGTTTCTAAATAAATCACTTCGCACCCGGTGAATAAGGACAGGAACTTGCCTTTCAGCAGAATTAAAATTGGGTAGGTGTTCCACCACGCCATGCCCACGTGAGCAAGTCGCTAGCAGTCTTGAATCCACTTTTCCAAGCAAAGCAGAGGCGGTAGGGCTGGGTCTGTAGAAAGAATTTGCAACGATTTAGCAGCAATTAAACCTTGCGCTCCCCGTGTTCGTTATTCTAAATATTCTGCCTGTAGTAAGCACAATATGAAATAAGACCTGAGGAAGCCTTGGATCCAGAACCCCGAAACCCTTTCCCTCGTTAATTATTAGCACCTGTTTTGCGATTGTTGCATTTTGACTTTGTTTAAAAGTCTGTCATTACGGTTGCTAAGCCTTTTTGCCTCTCTTGGGCTCCTCGTCGGAGTTGTAACCCGGCAGGTGTGAGGAGGGAGACGGTATATTTTTCCCAAAGCCGTACAGGTAGTCCTCGACGTAGGCCTAAAATTTATGTCGTTAAATGGGACATTTGCAAAGTGAATTTCACCCCATTTTTATTTTTTTTCCCCACCCCATTTTTACCACCTTTCTAGCCACACTTGTTAAGCACATGGTTGCAGTTCTCAAGTCCGTAACACGGTTGTTAAAAGAATCTGGCTTCTCCCCCATCGACTTTGCTTGTCGGAAGGTCGCAAAAGGGGATCATGTCACACACACACACACATACAGTGCTTTTTTTGTAAAAAAAGGTGCCGGAACTCACACATGTCATACAACCCGCCTTGCCTACCCTACAAGGTTCCATCCAAAAAAGGTGCCGGAACTCTGTTCTGGGCGTTCTATGACAAAAAAAGCCCTGCACGCGCACACACACTCTCTCTCTCTCTCTCTCTCTCTCACACACACACACACACACACACTGGGACACTCCGACCGTCATAAATACGAGTCAGTGGCCAAGTGCCCGAATTCTGATCACGTGACCCGGAGGGGGGACGCTGCAACAGTCGTGTGAAAAACGGTCCTAAGTCACACTTTTTTTCCAGTGCCGTTGTAACTTTGAACGGTCAGTTAAATGAACTGTTGTAAGTCGAGGGCTTAACCTGTGCTAGATTTCATTTATGCCTTTTTGGCCACTTAAGGATATCACAACAAGCTGCAGAAGGATTCATGCCGCCGGAGTAGATCCACACACAGGTGGTTCCTTGACTTAAAAACATTCGTCTGAAGTTACAATGACAGACCTATGGCTGTCTTTTCCCGCTTATGACCATTGTAGCATCCCCATGGTCACATGATCAAAATCCAGAAGCTTGGCAACTGGTTCATACTTGCGACGGTCGCAGTGTCCCCGGGATCACCACGATGTAAAAAAGATGTTGAGATTCTAGAAATAGTACAGAGAAAAGCAACAAAGATGATTAGGGGACTGGAGGCTAAAGCATATAAGGAACGGCTGCTGGAATTGGGTATGTCTAGTTTAATGAAGAGAAGGACGAGGGGGGACATGATAGCAGTCTTCCAATATCTCAGGGGCTGCCCCAAAGAAGAGGGAGTCAAGCTATTTTCCAAGGTGCCTGAAGGCAGGACAAGAAACAACAGATGGAAACTCATCAAGGAGAGAAGCAACCTAGAACTAAAGAGAAATTTTCTGACAGTTAGAACAATTAACCAGTGGAACTACCTGCCTCCAGAAGCGGTGAATGCTCCAACACTGGAAGTTTTCAAGAAGAGACTGGACAGCCATTTGTCCGAAATGGTATAGGGTTTCCTGCCTGAGCAGGGGGTTGGACTAGATGACCTCCAAGGTCCCTTCCAACTTTATTATTATTATTATTATTATTATTATTATTATTATTA